TAACGTTCTAAACCGGAGATCTCACTCCGATAGTGTACCTAAGGCACTGAACGTGACGCACCGCTTACAGTATAAAATGTTTCATCTCCCTCTCATGCCCCCAGAATCCCGGTGGTGCAATGTTTGTTTATGTTTGGCCGCCAGCACAATCTTATCTAACGGAATGAATATGCATGAGCGCTGATTGAAACCCATGGTTTCAAGGCCGCAGCTGCAGTCGGAGAGCTTCTCTCTGGAGCGCTTCAGCTACAGTACTACGATTGGACAGTTTTGAGTATTCTGCCTATGCCCACAGCTTTGCCTCCCTACACCAGAGTGAATTGTGACGGTGCAGCCGTCGAAGGCCGTCACGCAGAACACCAAGACTCCCGTCAGCGCGCACACACGTCCGGCGCTCAGCTCGCCTTCGCCAATGTTCCAGTGTTTACACAGTCACGCCTCTGCTGACCCGAATGTCCAGCTCGGACCGCGTCGAGGCCAAATGCCTCCGGGTCGGGGAGGCAATCCTCCGCCGAGAGGCAATCCTCCGCGGACTGGGAGCGTGAGGCAACCGGCTGCGGTTGGCAGCACGGTCCAGACGGACGGGCGCCGCCGCAGCGCCGCGACGAGCGCGCGAGCCGACAGAATGGAAAGTGTGGCCACGGCCAGTCGCTCGGAACGGCTCCCATGTGACCGTGCGCCGGCCGGCCGACTCCCCGAGGCAGTGGATGACTCGGTGGGCCGCTCTGGGCGGTCTGAACAGTCCTCAGGACGGTATACACCTGGCAGGGGACTCAGGGAGGCTATATTCTGCAGTCTGCCGCGGATACTCGGCTACCGACCGGACCAGCTGGGGACCAGATGGGTTACGGGCACGTCGGGCAGCATGACACACGGCACCGAACAGCCGGAGATTATTTTGGCTAGCGGGGCGTCTGGTCCACCCTTCCGGCAAGGCCGCGACGGTGGGGCGCCGGCGAGGACCGCTCGGAAGGCGACAAAGGGTGGAGACGCGGGTCGGACAGTGGGTGGGGTGGTAACATGGTTCGAGTCCATCACACTTGTAAAACAGTGAGAGGGCGAGACACTAGTGTCCTGAAATGTTCCGTTTGTTCTGCTGGTCAATAGAACACCGCTCCGACGGCGCTCGGACCCGCCTGCAGCAGCTCCGTTCCCGCCCAGCAGATCAGTCTCGCTAAGCGTGTTGCAACGCCGCCCAACAGCTCAGGGAGCGGTTGGTCGCACATAGCTCACTGCGCGCTTCGGTCCACTCAACTCCCACCATTAGCGAACGGCACGAGCCAGCTGGGAACACGGCGACGGCACCGCTCCCTGTCACGAGCCGCCGAGCCGCGGCCGTCACCTTGCCGGCATCAGCGCGCTCGTCGGTCAGCTGAACGGTTAGCCAACGTCGCGCCTTTCTAACTCTGTGCTGCAGCTCACGACACCCGGGAGTCGGGGCTCGGTGTCAGTGACACGCCGACCTCTGGACTGACACGATGGGCGGCCGCGCTGACACCGTGGACAATAGGTTGCCTGGCCATCCGGCAAATCGGCTCTGTCGGGCGGCGCGGGGGGCGGGGGGTGAGGGAGCTAACGACAGCCGCGCTGAATGACTGCTAACTGGCCCACTTCCGAGCGGCATTGTGGACGGTGGACCTGTCCGCCGGTACACAGGGACACGCCCCGCCGCTCTGCCGACGGGACCACGCCGGTGGATGAGGGACAGAGTGACAGCCACCGACCGGCGCAGCTCGTGAATTTCCGGCGCTAATGATATGGTCGCGTTCAATGGTATAACGTGGCATAAATGGCCATTGTGGGGTGAATTGTGAACGCGCATCACGCATGGCGCAAAGGCTAGGTACTGCCGCGCACACAGCAGTGCTCGTCATCCGTAAGTGGAAAGCAAAAACGTGATTTAATTATACAAGGTAAAATAAACGTTACTTTCCTCATCATTCCCATTTTGTCTTACTTGGTATAGCTAATATAATAGCTAATATAATTAAAACGTTCTTATGGAACCGAGCAGCTTAGTGATTTTTAGGCATAGTTGATCAAGCTCTAAGTCGCAACTCGCAAGCCGCTTCAATAGAATGAATCCTAAAAATATATTTCCCTTAGATTTTCAGATGAAAATGATTGAAAGCTTGAAATGATTGCACGCTCATTGCATTCGAACAAATAGATGAAGCCCCTTTGTCGAGCGTAGCAATGCTTGAGGCCGCATCATGAACTGCAAATGTACGATTAAAAGTAGATAAGTGAATAGCAGGGCGGAAGAAAGTCAGAATACACAAGCATAGCGTGCGGTGATTATCGTGCATAAAGACATCAACAGCCCATTGTTCACCAAAAATGGCAATCACTGGGGCCCATTTATAGGTCGCTGCTGCCTGATGTCTTTGTTAGTTGGATAAAAAATAGTTCAGCAATGAGGCGATAAAACACTACCGGGCATCATTAGCGCAGCCCCGGATACCGTTGCCCAATCACGTCTCAGCGACCATCCGAGGCTGCAGGGTTTCGTGTAGGGGACGCTGTTTCCAAACGGCGCTGGGCATTGTTCAGACGACAGGTTCGCCCAAATCGGTGAAAGGCGAAATTCCTTAAAACAACACCAACACAGTTTTTGCCGTCAAAATGCATGGCGAAGTTGTCTGTACCTTGCGATTGTCCGCCTGATTAAGAACAGCTTTGTCCGCAACCCGGCTTCCATGTTTACGTGCGACTTTTGCGTGATAAATAAGCGATTCACTTAAACGGACATGTCGCCCCATTCACCCGACAAATAAGGAAGCTCCGTCGACATTAATCACTGGAGGAATGTGTAATAACGGCAACCAGCCGGTGCTAGCAGCTGAAGGCCCAAACGCCGGCCACAAAAGAATGCCTTCCTACACCCGGACCTAGCACTGTGGAAAGTACCGGTCCCCTTATCTGTAAACGTTACACGGAGATATCTAAATGCATCTACGTTCTACATACCTATTAGAATAATATCTACATCTTGTTAAACGTTTGCAAGCTACCAGGATATCTTTGTAATCCGTGTCCCCGAGTGCCGCTTACCCTTATCATCTGGCAAAGAACATAACATAAGAACACGAAAAAATATACTTTTTATGTTGAAGCACGTCAGGAAATTTTCCAATCTAAATATTGATGTGGTATATTACGACTTATGTCATTTAGGTTAATTACATCTAACCTCACGGCAGGGTGACAGCCGGGGCATTCCACGATAGATCGTACCACTTTTTCCAATTTGACACCCTCATCTCTCGGATTTTAACGATAATTGGTCTAAGGGGTAATCAGGGGCTCTGAATCCTCCTGTGAAAATTTCAGACTAATCCAATGAGTAGTTTTTGAGTTATAAGGTATAACATGTTTTGAATCTTGCGTTGCAGCGCCAAGTTTGGCGGGCTGTAACTCTAAGACGGATAATCCAAATGCCAAATGCTATACGGCATTGAACTTGCATTGAAACAAAGAATAATATGCATTTTTAAAAGTTTGAAATATAAACTATTTTTGATATATAACACATCGAGTTTCCTTTCATTTGCATTTTTATGCCTTTGGGACCAAATTTTTTGGAATTTTTATTTGCTTAAAAACATTTTTGGATCATTATTAAGTAGTATGCGAAAAATTAGGAAGGTGTTCTTTCTACAAATGTGCTTATTTTGCGTCACCGTAATGGTCTCGAATTGTGATTTCGGGAAGAGAGCCTACGAATGGCGTGGTAAAGCTGCCTAGTGATATCACTGGTTACTGAAAGTCCAATTGAAGTCATTTTTGCCTCACGTTTGCATTGTTGACCTTGCGTGACGTCATTCGTACGTCACTAGGGTCATAAGAGTTTTTCGTCAATAACTCTCGATCAAATTGAGCTAGAGAGACGGGAAAGCTACCGATGGACTCGGGAAGACCTTGCGAATCGAATGATGTGCAATATGATCTCATTCACCCAGCTTCGTGGCCTGACCCGACTGTTAACCATCTCTGTGGCGGCGCTGTTTGTCCAGCGCCGCGCTGGTTGGCTTTGCCGCGGACTCGGGGCGGTCACGTGATGCCCGGGGGCTGGCTGCCGGCTGGGCCGCCCGGTCGGGGAGCGGAGCCAAATACACGGCAGTGTGCTGACACGAGGTCAGCGACTTAAGCTGACCTCACCAGAACAAACAGTATACCATTCGACGCGCCGGAGCTAGGCAAACACAAAGATGCTAAAATCGGGGCTGTGCGACCATTTGTTGCGAAGTTATCTACCAAAAAACCGGACCCGTAATTTGGGTCACTTGAAATGATCTCAGGGGTCACCAATGAACCTGAGACCTTAAAATGTGGTATCATTCGATGCATCTTGTAACGGCGCACATGTTCGTTTTTTTCCGCAAGGTTCTAGCTCCATTAGAGGCGAAACGGCGAGCTGGGGTCGTACCGACCCCCCGGAAACCCATTTTGTATGCATTAAAATGAGAAACTTATAGAAAGAACACCTTTCTAATTTTTTGCATGTCGATTTTAAATGACCTGAACTTTATTTTGAAGAAATAAAAATGGCAAAAATTTTGGTCCCAAGGGCCGAGATATACAATTTAAAAAAAGTATTACGACTTTTCTCAATATGTTAAGCTTTTCCTTCCAATTTTAAAAAAGCCGTATTAATCTTTGATTCATCGTTAGTTCAAAGCTGTTTACCGTTTGTTGCTTGCTTAGTTCGTTTTTGAGTTATAGCTCATCAAACTCACCCTTACAATCTGAAGTTTAGAAAATATTATGCAATGTAGCTCAAAAAGTTTTCGACTGAGAAGTCTGAAACTTTGACAGGCGTTTTTGTAGCCTATGATTACCCCTAGTACCAATTTTCATTCAAATCTGAGAGATGAGGGTGACGGGCCTGGTACGATCTATCGTGGAATGCCCCAGCCATGTCGAGTTAAAACCAAACCGCACTGCGCCCGTCTTGCCCTTCCCCTTCCAACACAGACGCACGAGATTCCGGTACTCACCCGTACAAAGATGAGGGTCTTGGTGTCTCCGATGCGGTACTTGCCCTCGGAGACGCGGATCATGGGGAACTGGCTGGGGCAGGAGCACCGCTCCACCAGGTCACGCACCTGCAGAACACACAGACAGACAAACACGGGTCAGATCTCTAGCACGATGGTTGCGGTGTTAAATCGACCGCAACGTTTCACACGTAGCAGAGCGCACGTTGATTAAACTCATGAGAAGTGGACTGAAGCCTTTGAGGACCGGTAAGACCTGATGCGAGGATAGGAACAGAAAAACGAATATTTTAGGTTTGCCTCTATACGCAACCTTTTATGATTATTGAGTTGGCCAATGCGGGCATGAGCTGCTAAACCTGCATTTATGCATGGGAACATCGGGAGTCTGGTGCAATTGGCGACATTGCACGTTGCAATCCGCCAATTCCCACAGACACAGCGCTATGGCTTGCGTCACATGTCCAGCTCTCTCACAATCCCGGATGGTATTGTGTATGATTAAATCGTAATTCAGCTCATATTCAGTAAAATGAGAAGACAGCCGAATATATCATTGTCCCGTTTTGTCCGGTTGAGAAGACTGAAAGTTACATGACATGACATATCCCAGGATAACAGCCGACAAGAAAAGGTCCAACATTCTATCATAAAACAGAAAATTTAAAAGAAATAGCTCTAACAATTGAAAGCAACGACTATCGATCAGTAAGATTGCAATATAATACAAATATTTTTGGAGGGAGGAGCATGATGGTGCAATGGGCTCTGTCAAGCTCTTGCCACAAGCAGTCGGCGTGATTTAATTGCAGACACAAACGAAGACCGTTCCTTGCCGCCTTCACTCCCTGCATTTCCCAATCGCGGCGACCGTCACATTGTTCCAGCCACTGTTCCTTTGTATCAACACTCGGCGGAAACCGCAATGCCGCCGGCTTTCATCATCCTCCCCCCTCCCCTCCCCCTCCACTTCCCATCGCCGGCGGCACCATTTGGTACGCACGACACGCGCTGCCCCCTCTCTGAGTGCGTTATCGCCGAGACGAGAGGACGGGGGGGGGCGGAGTCCGGGGGCGACGGGTCAGAGTCCGGGGTCGCCAGGCACGTGTCTCCACTGGGGAGGGGAGGGGAGGCTGGATTCAGCTGGGCTGCAGCTGGAGTATTGTGATCGCCAGATGTCTCAGTGCCGAGCGTCAGTTTCGGGCTGAGATGGTCCGACGGGCGGCGAGATGACACCTCGACGCCCCTGCAGGCGCCGGGAGGAGGTCGTAGGATGGGTCGGGGTAGGACGCAGCGCCCGTCGGAGCCCCGGGTCTAATGAGGGGGGTGTCGTCTGACAAGAGAGGATCGCGCGGGTCGGATGACAGTCCAGTCTGGCCAAGACGAGTTACCGAGTTACTCGTTTATCAGATAGCGAAGCAGACTTTGACATCGGAGCGACCCACGTCGACAGGCAGCTGCGCTCTCATACTGTCAAATCCTGACAGTCTGTCCAGTCCGTCAAGACTTCACTGACCCATTCTACCGACCAACAACCGGCCTGACCTGACCGGTCCAGCTAACGGTCCACCCGGGTCACCTATTGACATGTGACCTCCTGCCCCAATCGGACGCACATCTGACGCGGCCCGCTATAGCGGCACCATCCAAACGTCGATCTCACCGCAGATCTGACGCCATTTTCAGACGGCCGAAACACGTGAATGATGACGAGGCCGTGATAGGGCGGCACAAACGCGCTATCGGCGCTTCGTCTCGCCGCCGGCCGCTCGCTCGTTTGGCTGTTCCGGGCCCAACTAGGAAACGCGGCGGGACGCACGCGCCGTCCGTCCGATGTATAGTTTATCTTTACGAAGGGCAGCCCAGAAAACGCTTCCGCCTTCGCTGTGATCTCCGTTGGTAGGACAAAGTGGACCAAGGATAAGACTGATAGCGTAAAATTTAAAATCCAGCAGCCGACGCCAGGAAAGAGCCAGAGAAAGCATGACTGCTTCTGTAGCGGTGCTGCTGGGCGGCTTTGCGGTGCACATGTGCCGTGTGAGTGACGGGTGGCAGTTAGCGGTGTGATCGTCCGCCTCGGAGGACGACACCGGGTGGGCAGGTGGACCGTCTCCTCTTTAACGCCTGTCCGATTCCCACTTGGCACCAGCTCCGCCGTCGTGCAGTACAAATTTATTTGAGAGGCTTGCAATTTCCTTACAACATATAGCCTTCACTGCTCGGGGAGGAATGGGTTCAATTTGGAAGGGATGGGATTTGCCACCGGCTGCTGGAATTGCTTGGCTTTAAATCCCAGGGCAAGGCCTTCCCATGTTCCCATTTCGTATCCGTTCGATGCCAAGGGCTCTATCCCATCAGAGAAATAAATGCAATTCGAGCATGAGTGTCTAGCTCCCACTGGTCCTTAATATAACCATTCGTTACTCCCTTTCATCCGCGCACGCACATTTATTCGATCATGCATACATCTACGAAGAACATTCGGCTAGACAAACCGACCCTCCCGTTTCCATCTAATCCCCCCAGTGGCGCTGAAAATTGCATGGTTATCTCCTGAGGTGAGTTTATACCCTGCTTGGTACTTATGCGCGCATAATGAGGTGTTAACCCCTTTAAGTCCCCGAATTCTAAGCAAATTGGCACTGGGTGTCCTTCTGACCCCATTTACGTTGTAACTCTCTTCCGCTGAAGTTACGTTTCTCACGCACTCCCGGCCACCAGTGCATACATTTCCATCGACTACCTCTCTCTCGCTCGCGCGCACTGCCACAGTGCGGATAATTTCGCCCAAGCTCAAAGGAAACAACGGTTGTACGCACCTCTGCCGGTCTGTCGACTCGGTGTTGTGGGTGGTCCGGTTGTGCCTCAGTTGAGGGATCAGTTCCTAAATGATAATACCCTCGGCGGAGCCACTCCGCATAACAACTCTACATTTCCATCGACTACCTCTCTCTCGCTCGCGCGCACTGCCACAGTGCGGATGATTTCGCCAAAGCTCAAAGGAAACAGCGGTTGTACGCACCTCTGCCGGTCTGTCGACTCGGTGTTGTGGGTGGTCCGGTTGTGCTTCAGTTGAGGGATAAGTTCCTAAATGTTTATACTCTCGGCGGAGCCACTCCGCGAAACCATAACTCTGTGTTTCTTCTGAACACCTCGGCGGAGCCACTCCGCGACATTATGACTCGACAACCTTGCCCTCGTTTATCGCTCTTACACTCTTACATATTAGCCCTAGCCCTTCAAAGTCCGGCCGACACGGACGGCTAGCCGCTCGGTGCCTTTGCTATACTTCATGGGAATACGCAGTAGAATTCATCGAGTCACGGAATACTCATTTTCCATCTCGCAGTGATCGACGGCGTCAGCAGAGTCAAAACAGGCACAGGGGCCTGGCTCGAACCAGCCTCTTTCCGGCTAGTTGGATTGTCTCGGTCTTTATCCTACTTTGTTGTATGGTTTAGTGCAATCGCGTCGATATATGGTACAATCATTGGGAGCAATATAGAGAATACAGCAGAGGGAGAGAGAGAGAGAGAGAGAGAGAGAGAGAGAGAGAGAGAGAGAGAGAGAGAGAGGGAGAGAGAGAGAGAGGGAGAGGGAGAGGGAGAGGGAGAGAGAGAGGGAGAGAGGGAGAGGGAGAGGGAGAGGGAGAGGGAGAGAGAGAGAGAGAGAGAGAGAGAGAGAGAGAGAGAGAGAGAGAGAGAGAGAGAGAGAGAGAGAGAGAGAGAGAGAGAGAGAGAGAGAGAGAGAGAGAGAGAGAGAGAGAGAGACCGGATTATGAGAAAATTGTCATGGGGTGGTCCATTTCGATGTTTCCCCATACTCGCTCACATTTGGCTAGATGTTCATGCCCGTTAGATTTATCATCCCCTGCTGACCTTCCTTACACTCATGCCGATAAACTTTCAGAGTTTTTATTCACGCAATACACTTTGGAATAAAATAAGTTAGAATTCAAGCGGAGGCCTCATGATTACCAGACGTACCCTCGATTCGATTTTGTTTCAAAACAAGAATAGCATCGCGCATATCTGTTACCCAAATCTACACACCCGCGCAACCCTTTCCATCGCGCAACATAATTCGTCATTTCCGACCAGCCCTGACGCAATGATTCGACAGCGATCCAATTAAAAACTGAGTCCCCGAGTCCTATTTGAGACACCCAATAAATTTACCCAATCAACGCTTTGCCCCCCCCCCTTTAAAAAAGAAGCTTACATGGTGTTGTCGTTACGCCTAATCATCACGCTCAGCCCGAGAAAGGTAGCCCTGAACCATCAGCCGGTTGGTGCGAATCACGGAGTGAATATGTGAGGGACGGGAGCTGAATGATTGCATGTTGGCAAGGATTGAGCAGTCTTCCTTTCTGTGGCAATTCTTACTTGAACGGCGTTGTTGACCAAGCCGGTCACCGAGAGGTCGCTGATGATAGCAGTTCGTCCGTTGTCGATGGCTGAGAGCGTGCACTTTCCTCGATCCAGCTCTCGATCACTGTTGTACTGGATCTTCCCTCGTCAGCTGCCGCCCGTCGCGCTCCTCCCGTCGTACTCCATCCTCCGTGCACTGCCGTGTCCTCTGCGCTCCGCCCAGCCGGACTCGATGCTCCGTGCACTCCGGTGTCCTGTGCACTCCTCGATCGGACTAGATGCTCCGTGCACTCCGGTGCCCTGTGCACTCCTCGGTCGGACTAGATGCTCCGTGCACTCCGGTGCCCTGTGCACTCCTCGGTCGGACTAGATGCTCCGTGCACTCCTCGGTCGGACTAGATGCTCCGTGCACTCCGGTGCCCTGTGCACTCCTCGGTACCTCCTCCATGACTGCCTCGTTCCTTTATACCCAGATTACTATCGCGTTGGTGTTCCAGGTGTGATAAGCATGGCTAGATATTCGTCGGTGTGGCGTGATAGGCCTAGTATCTTTATCTGTATGATGACTCACGAGTGGCATCGGTCCTGGTTATCGACTTTCTCCCAGCTGGTTGTAATTGGGCCGGGTGCAGTGCTTATCACTTTTGCTATCTTCTTGCCATCTGTCGTGCACACCTTTGTTCTGCTGGGAAGCTGAGGTACCCTGTCCGGCGTCGGCGCTTATTGCTTGGTTTGGTT